GTAAGAGTACTCAAGATGAATTTTTTTTTTACCGATTTGGACATTTAATTTATGCTGTGTATTTATTATTAATATGTATATTAGCATGCGACTTAGTTTTAGTGTCTTTAGATTATGTAGGTACTGATAGCTTAATATATATTATTGTTTTGTTTGTTTTTCTGTTGGGGGCTATTTTGAAAATGTGTGTAATTGAGATAATCGCAATATTATTATATGATTGGAATTGAAGAATTTTTTTACTTAATATTACTTAATACGAACGTTACGAATTCCAAGTGTTCTTTTTTTATTTTTTTAATTTTATTTATTTATTTTTGTGTGTTCGATTTGTAGGAATAGTTAATATGTCCTATTGTCTGATCTCCGATACCCTCCAATTGCCTTTAACAAGGTTGCGACTGCTAATGCCCTACAGAATATGATCTTTAACAAGTTTCAGAGACTTGTTCGAACGATATGTTCGCGTCCAACAAGTTGATTTCGACCAACTTGCCCTAGCGGAAACTGCATAGCTCCTATTTTATGCATTTATAGCATTGTTTTTTTTGTTGTTGCTTGTTGATGTTTTTGTATTCATTTGTTTGCGTTTAATTGATTTATTTTATTTAATATGTTTGTATTTTTATAAGCCCTATAAGAATATGGTCTTCAACGAGTTTCAATGACTTACTCGAACTGTACGTGCAGGTCCAATAAGTTGATTGTGACCATCACTAATCTATTGCGAGGCACCTATTCGCTTCTAACTCTTCTCACCTTATGTCACTTTTCTACGTTTAGTACACTTTTCACTGATTATTTATTGGTACATTGAATGTGTTTCAGTTTTCTATTTTTTTTTTTATCTGTTTAATTATTCATGTATATACATGTCTATAATACATTTGCTTATTTTTCTTAACTTTACTCTCGTCTCCCTAGCACTTTATATTTTGTTTTACATAATTTGTGTATAATTGGTCAACTCACATGCTAAATAATAAGCACTTAAAGAACATGGTTCTCGTCGAATTATGGTTGTAATAAGTCTACGACGTCTCTCGACTGCGCGAGTTACCAGTGTGGCCCTCGGTAACTAAGGATGTGGTAGTAATCGGAGGTGTGCGATAATATGCAAACACCCACGAATAGTTTTGGTGTAGTTATGTTTTAAGTTGATTATGTGTTTTAAATGATTATTTGGAATTAAAAAACACTGAAGTGGAGTGGTTGAAGTTTGTAAAAAGAGTAAGTTTTAATTTATTTCTATATCTTATAAATAGCCTGCTGTATACAAAGTTCGGTCAACATGTTTAGCTACATGAGTTCGAGAATATGCTGTTGTAGCGGTTTCATGCGGCTAGCACTTGAAATGTCGCAACGGCACATCCTATTAGAACGCTAAGTGTGCAATTTAACATGAAATTTGGAATATGTTACAATAAACTGTTGCCCTTTTAAAGTGGGTAACGAGAGACGTGTGAGAGGCATGTGTTTACAAAACGTTTGAGTGGGCGACGGTTGTCGGCGGGAATGTGTATAGTTAGCTGCTTCTAGGCGGCTTCGGTGGCGGTATCGACTGTGACATGCCCTGGGTGGTCGATACGGTAACTCGCGCGTCAGACATGTGCAATTATGAAATTGTCTTTTCCGCCTATGATCTGCTAATTACACACATTTGTGTGTGTGCGTCTGTGTGTACAGCTCGAAAATCAGAAATCACTAAAACTTCAAATCTTGTCAAATTTGCAAGGGACAGGCAGGCAACCAACAGACACACAAACGCATAAATGCTTCTATTCAAGTCTAAAAACTGTTAAATGCACACATGCCAACGCTTAGATACCCTTAACAACAAGAACGAGCTAAAATGCAAGAATTTGGATTCGACGTGGCAAACCCTTTCATTGTTTTATATTACTCGTCCCTTAAAAAGGGAAGAAATGTCTCCGACATTTAAGAAAAATGTGTTTCTTACTCTCTTGCTCACGATTTTGGACCAGATGTCAGCGTTTTAGTGTGTCCACTCTGGTTGTACTGCATGTCTTATCTATATGTTGTTTGGTTAGTGATACTACTCATTCTGTAATTAAGTTCTTGATCATTTTTGTACTAATACTTAAGTTTCTATTAAGCGTTTAACCGATCCACTGCGTGTATGCATCTTAGGCATACGGCAAATATCCCAACATTGGTTATGGGCCTAGGTCCCGTCGTATCGGTTAAATAAGTACACAAAGTGTCTTCGTTTTTGAGAATTTAGTTTTGTTCAAATTTTAAAAGTTAATTTCGTGCGCGGAATAGCGTGGTGAAATCGTAAAAATAAACATGCCGCATCAAATAGAAAAACTCGGTGAGGACAATTATGATGTATGGCATCTGACCATGAAAAGTGTCCAGAAAGCGATGACTTATATTATTTTAAATCTAAAGCCAACCCAGTTGTTGTGCATCAAGTCATGCCCAACTTCTGCAGCTGTATGGAATAACTTATAGGAAATTCATGTGCCAGCTGGAACGAATAAAAAAGTGCAATTATATCTGCAGTTCGACGATGCACCTGCTTATGTAAATTCATTTGTTGAGTCAATTGAAAAGTTGTCAGAATTGGCATAATGGATCGGGGGACAACAGTGTTTGTGTGTGGTTTGTGAGTGAACAAACATACTTCAGAGTCGGTTCATATGTTAAATAGTTCTCATTCATCTGCCATGCCACAATAGATTTGGCCACCAGAATCTTAAGGGTTTGCAGTTTCCTAATAATAAGTACTCGAAATATTGCATACAGACGTATATGGTCCAATAAATTTTAAGTCGTTGCCAGGCAATCGACATATCGCGCAAGATATTTGTTTATCTTATGCTCTCAACACCACATTTTTTGAAAAGTTTAAAATGTGTATGACTTTTGTAGAATGCCAAACAGACAACAAAAAAAAGGAGCAGCGACAAAGGCACAGAATATGTGAATGATCAATTCACTGAATCTTTGATCGAGTGCAGTATAAAAAGTCAATAAACTGCTTCTTACACTCCGCAGCAAAACGGAGTGGTCGAACGTGCCAATCGCACCATCGTTAAATTGTAAAAAAGTCTTTTAATTTATTCAAAGCTTGAAGAATTGTTTTGTGCAGAGGCTGTTGCATCAGCAAATTATATGCGCAACCGATCTCCCACAAAGCATTAGACGGAAGCACACCATTTGAGGTATGGAAGGACGCAAGCCGTCAGTATAGCACTAGACAGTATTCTGCTCGCGGGCATTTGCACACGACAAAGTCAATAGAAGCAAGTTCAAAACAAAGGGCAAGATGTACATATTTGTTAGCTACTCGTTTACACCAAAGGCATATCGCCTATCTGATCGCGAGATTCAAATGCAATGGTGTAGTACAACATGATCGTTGCAGACCCAAAATCATATGCACAACTCAGCCAGTAAGGCCCAGAAAACAGTACATTTTCCTCAATGGTCTAAATCAGTTTGAAGACATTGAAACTCAGTTGCAAGTCGAAGCCATGAAGTATGGACTTCAAGAGATGCTAAAACGAGGCATGCTTGTACGTAAAGCAAAATCAACATCAGTTCAGCCATATCGCTGTCTACGTCGATGATTTATAGTAGTGTGTCCCAGCGAAGACGACATCACCGTTATGCCATTTAGAAGAAGATTGCATCAAAGTGTAAAATTCACGATTAGCTATTTCCTAGGCATGGAAATCCAACTCGATGACGATCGAGACTGCATTTAGGTGTGCCAGAAAACGTATATTCAAGGCCTATTTGATACATATAGCATGAGCAATTTCCGTGCAGAATACACACCTCTTGATCCTTGTTTTCAAGTGCTTTACAACGACGATAGTTGTGTCAAGGTATATATAACGAAATATAAGTCATAAATTGGTTCGCTAATATACTAAGCAGCTTGGAGTCGACACATGTATTTAGCATACTCTAACAAAATGGACATAAATAAGTACTGCTTCACATGGAGAGCACCAGTCTGCAAAAAAAACATTCTCAGATATCTTGCGAGTACAAAGAATATGAAAATTGTATACCGTAAAAATGACAAGCCACGAAAAGGCTATACAGATGCAGATTGGCTAACGATCGGCTGGACAGAAGATCTTATAGTGCCTGCGCAGTTTCCTGGCAGGCAGTGCATTTTCTGGGACTTCATCAAAGCATTGTCGCACTGAGAGCACCGAAGCAGAATGTCAATGGCTGCCAAATAAGCAGCATAATAAGGGGTCAACATTCATTCATCAATTCAAACCCAAATTCATAAACGAGAAAGAAGGGCTATCTTCGGCACGCCGAAAATTTAATACCCTTGCAGACCCAACCTTTTCATAATGCTCATAGTGATTTGCCCGTATTTAAGAAGCACATAGTTAATGCCGAGTATGGCTGAGATTTTTTTTTTATTTTATTTTATGAATGGTCGACAAAACGAGTGTCTTCCTAATTATTCAATACATTATACATACATTATGAAAACTAAACGCTAAAAGCCTAGTTAGAATACACAATTTTCTAATAGCATCACCGACCGATGGAGGAGGATGTGGCCCTTTTCTTTAAAAACAAAATAGTTTTCCACACAACAACTTAATTTTCGACCGATCGTTCCTATGACAGCTATATGACAGCTGACTACTACTACTATCGGACTACTGTCCGATGTAAATAAGATTTTGATATAGTGGTCCGATGTTGATAGGATTTTGCATATATAGGAGGAGTATAGAAAACTAATAAATGCCGAGTTTGGTCAAGATATCGTGAAAAACAAACTAATTTTCCATATAACAACTTAATTTTCGACCGATCGTTCCTATGGCAGCTAGATGATATAGTGGTCCGATGTTAATAGGATTTTGCATATATATGAGGAGCATAGTAAAACTAATAAATGCCGAGTTTGATCAAGATATCTTAATAAACAAAAATATTTTTCATACAAGAACCTACTTTTCGACAGATCGTTCCTATGGCAGCTAGGTTTTGACACATAGTACATATGTAACGGAAAGAGGAACTTCTGCAAAGTTTCATAAAGATAGCTTTAAAACTGAGAGACTAGTTCGCATAGAAACAGACAGACGGACAGCCGGACAGACGGACATGGCTATATCGACTCGGTTGATGATACTGATCATGGATATATATACTTTATGGGGTCGGAGATGTCTCCTTCTATGCGTTACACATTTCACGACAAAATTATAATACCCTCTGCAAGGGTATAAAAAAGTTATTGGAAAAGTAAAGAAATTTATACTAATATATAGGGTCTTAAGTAGATAGGATAAGGAGATGGTGATTGGTGCGATAATTCCTGGTATGTCTGGACGGAGCAGATAATTGAAGACGCCCTGACAAAAAAGAAGAATCTATGTCGCCAATAATCAATTTATGTAGAAAGACATGGATTGTCGTACGGTTAACGACGGAAGATCAAGATGAAGAAGTCTGCTGGAGAAAAGTGGCAACCGAAGATTGCGGTTCCAATTTAAACCACGTAAGGCAAAAAGCAGAAAATGCTTCTGTGCTGACTCAGTATTCAAGGATAAGGAGAACAAGAGAGATGTAGAGAAATTTGGTTATATTTATAAGGATCGTTAAATACCGCGAAATACCACTGTAGATAAAAATTGCGGGTCACTCCAGCGTTGGTTGGGGGGGTAATTGATTGGGTAAGGGGGAGTACGCTGAAATGCAGTTAAACTCTAGGTCTCGCATAGGGGTCTTGTTTAAATGTGCATTATTTACCATGTTAAGGGTTTTAACTTGTGAATTTTCGCTAGTATGGCGCCCGCGTTCCAGCAAAGGAGTAACGCACCTAAACATGCGATTCTGCAGCACGGTCCATAGAAGGGTAGTTTTCAGTGCGGTTTGTGGGGAACTTTTATTGGTAACGTTGTTGTATATTAGGTTTAGGTAATTCTGCTGCTGGGAGTGGTTCGGTTGTCGTTGCACCCACGTGCTGTGTTGGGGTGATGAATTGTCAAACAATGGGCAATTGTCTTGTTTAAAAGTGCATTATTTACCATGTTATGGGTTTTAACTTGTAGATTTTCGCTGGTACGGCGCCTGCGTTCCAGCAAAGGAGTAACGCAAACATGCGATTCTGCAGCACGGTCCATAGAAGGGTAGTTTTCAGTGCGATTTGTGGGAAACTTTTATTGGTAACGTTGTTGTATATTATGTTTAGGTAATTCTGCTGCTGGGAGTGGTTCGGTTGTCGTTGCAACCACGTGCTGTGTTGGGGTGATGAATTGTCAAACAATGGACAATTCGCCTTCCGTAAAGAGACTGTCACTGCTTGATGGCATCTCTAGCCTGCAATATAGACTATGTTTTTAATATGGGCCTTGTTGCCACCAGAGTCTAGAATTGGTTTGTCCGTTCTTATTGTGTTATCTGGGCAGTGAATATGTGAAGCTTCGTGCCCTCGAGCCTTAAGGTCGTTGTTGATCTTGGCGTGCGTTGTTAAGACATGTAGACCATTTATAGTTTGTTTTATCCGGCCGCTTCTCTTTGAGCTGGTACGTGTAGAACTCAATGTTAGAAGTTTCATAGTTTTTAAATACCTTTTAATGTGCATGCATCTTGGGCATATAGCCAAATTGTACCCTCTACTGTAATTCTTGGTAATGCTTAGGAGAGATATTGGATGAACGTTAGGCGTTGTAGGTTGAGGTTGCTTTTGGTCTGGGCTTCCTGGATTAGGAGTGGCTCTGCAACGGTCAGGATTTGAAGGCATAAAGGCTATAAAGGTATAAGCGTTGGGGCTCTCGTCGGCCTCCTGTTTCGTGTCGGTGGGGGGAGCCAAATTGTTCTGCATAATGTTGAATATCGTCCAGGAGATTTGACAGCGAATCTGCGTAGGTTGTGGACATATTTTCCAGGACTTCGCTAATCCACTGATTCATCATCTGAATCGCTACTCAGAGCATGAAATCTATTCCGATCGTTAATGGATCGGAGCCAACTAACTGAAGACTACCTTGTCAGGAGTTACAGCGCTGGGGGAAGTGCTGTGGTGTTTTGGAGTTCAGCTTAGTTTCGAATGTGGACTGTGTTGGGATACTACTGCTGTCTGTATGGCTGGTGCAGATGTTGCTGTTGATTATACGTGGTTCTTAAAGTTATTTTTTTGCATGACAGCCAGGCAAAAGTTTGAAGTTGCCGATTTTATTTGGAGGAATTTTTGCAGTATTATTATTAGCATCACAAAGTTTTACAGCTCCCAACTTGTCAATGTGTGCAAATTGCGCATTTGCAATTTTGATTTTTGCGTCTTTTCTTATATAAGTCACTTTAACACAGTTTTTATCAGTTTGGGGTTGAATGCACTCTAAAAAGTAGTATTATGTCACTGTTGGCTGAGCTTGTGCGTATTGTGGCACTGTTGCTCACGATATTTTACGGGCTAAAAAAAACCCTGAACGTATTAAATGTAAAGCTGTAATGGAGGAGAGGTTCGGGTTCAGTTTTTACCTTTCGTTTGGCCATCTACCAAAATAAAACGAACGGCCGTGGCTGTTGCCTAACCGGGTGCATAGGGATTGGAGGTTCGCACTTCTTGCTAATGCTCGGACAATAGCTCGTCGGACTGATCGGGGTTTTTTTTCCTTTCCCTTCTGCACTTACCATAAACACATAGTTTAAGTGCGATCACAAAAAAAAATAAAATGATTGATTTAAGTAAATCCAAAGAAAAAAAATAAACAAGATTCTAGTATGTGTACCATTAATGTGTTCCGAACGCACATCCAAATTCAATAGAAAGATAGGTATAACTCGATTTACAAAAATATACAGTTTCCAAACAAAATTTAAATTCGAAGTTAATATGACGAATGTGCAATAACTAGTTTAGATAACATAAAGAAATTAAGCGGAAGGAGAAATTCACCAACATTATCTTGAGACTTGACGGATAGTAATTAATTTACCGTCTTGCTAAATTAAGTTGCATTTAATGTTCATAGGTGTATATAAATACATACATGTATATCTATAAGCGTTGTTTTAAACTCTTACTCACGCGATATCCTTCGAAGCAGACGTTAGGCCCAATGTATACGACGATTAGGATCGCTGTTGCTAAATATTACAAAAAAAATTTATAAGTATATAAACACATGTATATATATATATATATATATATATATATATATATATATATATATGAGCAGCGGTCAAGGTCGGTGGTGTGGGAATTTCCTCTCGCTTTAACTTATTTAGGCATATTCATTGCATATTCTTACAAAATTTAAAAAAAGAAAAATTAAAAGAAATAAAATAAAACTAAGGATCTATTAACCGTCCATCTTGGCAACGTAAAATAATTAATGGAATTATATGGCAATGGCTTCTAAGCAAGCGAAAGGGTACACCAAAGGTAATACAGACTCAGCTCATTCGTTACTCTCTGCAGGTTACGCTATATGCTTAGTGCATGCGGCCCCGATGGTGCTGCATAAGTAGTAAGCGTTTCACCCGCTTGACGCCGTTCTTCGAGGCTATGCCAGATGTTGTTCTTCGCAAGACAGCTGCTGATAAGTAAAATAGCAACAAAATTGGTCCTACTGGGTTGCTAAGCGCAACACGTGCTTTTGGTGTTGCCCTTGTCTGGTCCGATCTCCCCCTCTGGTAGCGCCGACTAGTACGTCTAAATATTACCGCTGCTCTTTGTTAGCAAGCTACTGACGAATGGAACGGCTCTAGTCAACTGAGCAGGCACGGAAACTGTGGAAGCCTTAATTAGTTCCAAGTCTCAACACTAGCACATATAAATACCTTTTCTTTAAGGCTCACCCCGAATCACAATTAGGTTAGTGGGTGGAGTTGCTATGAAGGTTTTTGGTTTCTATTAGCGTACCAAAAGAACACATTCAAACTGTACCACAATTGCAATCTTGGTCTTTGACGTCTTAGCAAAATTATTTGCAAAGAAAAAAAATGTTATGAACTTAACTCGCCCGCGCTTCAGATATAAATGACATGCTGAGCTGTACTTTATATTTTACTACTTCCCAAAGACAAAAAAAATAAGGAAGCTTTCAAAAGTTCTACATCACGCGATTATACTTTAAAACGGTACTATGGCCTGATCTTATCACCATTAAAATAGCAGCACAGAAAACAAACAATCGCAATTGTAATGCAATTCAAAGCAGACGCGCATGAATGGGTGTGTGTGTACATGTATACAGAAATTCTTGCAATTTGCGCTAGCTGCTGCTAACACGTGAGCAATTAAAACATATAACTTTCGTGTTTCTTAACCGATCTTAATGAAATTTTCGACAGTGTATTGTGTATTCTCAAAAAGTCTATTGCATTTAAATTGTGGCTAAAATCGGTGGGCAATAGAAGTTGGATTATTAGCTTGATTTTTAGCTATGAGGTAGTAGCGGGGAGGTGGTGATAGCTATAAAATGAAAGATACTACTTATATATATTATATTCTAGAAGCTACATGTCAAGTTTGGTGAATGTAGCTCTTGTTATTTATCAAACTTGCTCAAAAAATAGGATTTCGATATCGATTTCTTGGAAACGGGGCAAGTTATCGAATATCGGAAACAAACTCGATCTGCGCGGGTACTAGGAGGACCTACAGCTAACAGTCACTAGCTCTTCTAGCTTCTGAGATCCATGCGTTCATACATACGGACGGACGAACGGACGGACAGGCAGCCGGACATGGCTAGATCGACTCGGCTGTTGATGCTGATCAAGAATATATATACTTTACGGGGTCGGAGATGCTTCCTTCTGCCTGTTACATACATTATCACAAATAGATTAAACCCTTTTAACCCATTTTCAATGGGTTTAGGGTATAACAAATTAATTGATGTATGTGATATTCAGAGGAATTGATGAAAATTTCATCCCACTACAAGCAACTGGTAAGCCCGGTTTAATTTTACTAAAATAATTAATATGTTTAACATATGAAATAAAAAAAAAGATGAAGTCTAAGCCCACCCTCACCTATTAAAAAATTTTCGACTCTTTGAGTCTCCTATTTGAACTCGTATTTCCTTACCTTTCATGCATACATGCAAATATACTAACAGTTTATTGTAATTACACAATTCACACCATGGAAAATTTTGTGCGCACATATGAGGCTGATAAAAGTCAAGCAAACAAGAACCCCACCGGGAGTACCGTAATTGTTTTGTTTTATAATAATATACATACACATCGCAGATCGAACCAGCTAAGCAAATACTTATGCAATGGAAAGGTAGCCAACATCATCATTAAAATATTTCGTGAAATAATTGTTTATTAGAATATTAAATACTATATATACTTGTTATATTATTAACCTAATACTTGTGTTTTTCACAAATAAATCAATGACAAATTAAGTAGTACATTATTTAATATGTTTGCGTTGTGTCTTTATTAGTACCTGTACTTTGAAGATAACTCTTATTATTAGAACAAAGTTCGTAAAAAAATTTGCCCCACATACGTCTCGTAACAGGATCTAAGATAATAAAATATATAAAGATAACAAACCCTTGCAGTGTTGCTGTGAGACAGAAAAGGTATGAAAATACAATACCAACTTTTATTGTTGATAAAAAGCCGAAAAACCACGTAAATCCCAATAGAAAAAAAAGCAGTACTGATAGCCTTATCTGATAGATTAAAACGGGTTTATCAGTATGCCTTATTGGTGTGCTGGACCTTCCTAATATATTATATATAATAAGACAAAAGATAATAAAGTTTGCTAATATGATGATGGAAATTGGCATAATTATGCCGAAATAAAGCGCATAACCGGAAGGGTAGCAAATGGCCCCTTGACTAAACGAATCATAATCTAGCACAATAACAAGCACAACTGGTATAACTGGTACACCCCAACATAAAGCGGTCGATTTCATAAAGAATCTGTTCGGCCGGGTTCCTCCAAATACATGCACATATCTCTTGAATTGCAAGTATGCAATTACCATCATCCAGAAGAACTGAACCAGGACAGAGTAGTGAAGAAGAGCGCCAATTGCTACACAACTAGGTATTATCTTATTTATAATTAAATGTAGTGAGTATTCCTCTGTATTAACAAAGCAAAGAATTATCATCTGCAAAGCTATTGCAGCTGATAGTTGTAGTAGTACCTTAGAAGACGGTTTCTGACGCCAAGAATTAAATATTGCTGCAGTTATAAATATGCCAGTTATACCGAGAAGCGATAATGTGCAGCCTGTTACCGTTATAATGTCAAGAGCCTGGTCATGAATTTGCTGAATATTTACTTCAATGTCTTCTTCCACAGTGAAATTAAAGCCTACTAGGTAAGCGAATGGCGTTAGATGGCTTACTTGACATACTGCAATATCTTCGTAAATTTCGGAGAGACTAGAGGCCTTAATCCCATCAGAGGCCCAATTCTCAAAATTCCAATATCCACACATATCTTTGGATTTATTGTGTTTTGATGAACTACTTTGAGAAACTCTAAAAGCAAGTGGCAATTCTTCAGGTAAATGCGTACTGTGACCTGGTAAGGATATTGAAACGACACGACCCAAAGCACTTCGTGAGATATGATTGGCTTGTGATTGAAAAAGTTTGTCATTTGAGTAGACTTTAATAATCACAATACTATTTGTTACCTCGGTAACATTATGGGTATTTAAATTTGCATCCAATTGTTCCAAGAGCTTTTCTGGAACATATGTGGCTAATTGTAAGTTAGGTTCGTAAATGAAGTCCTCAATTTCATGATTCGACTGCAGGAATCGGTAGTGCTCATTTTGAAATGCACCATTTAATAAATATGGTAGTTCCGTTGCATTATTATTATTTTTAAATATTGCTATTCCAGAAATATTAGCTATCAACGGGTTAATAATAAAATAGAGTAAATTGGGTGATATTTTTACTGAAACTCCAATATCCTCATAGTCCAAGACTTCAAAATCGGTTCTCGGTTCTAATTCGTTAGAATTTACAATGGCTTCGCTTAAATTATCTTTATTAAATATTGTCTGTGATGAAAAAGTATTCATTGCGATTTCAAATGCCTCCAGAAGTTTGTTGGTTGAGTTTAATTTAGCTGACATCCGTATTGTGGTTTCCTTCACATTTAGCAGAAAATTGTAAATATATATAAGATCTTGGGTGATGTCTTTCAATATTGCGTCAGCATGACTAAGCTCCGCAGCCATCGCTTTTTTGGGCAAACTCAAAACAAACTGATCCAAATTTTTTACAGAAACTTGCACAATGTCAGCAGCAAAATGTATATCCACTGGTAAAACCTGTGTAGCATATTCTTGCAAAATATCTTTAACTTTTTTAACCACTCTTTCTGGTGAGGCTTTAAGCATTTTCGAGTTAGTTAAGCTGTAAAGAGTTTTAGTTATTTTCAATTTGTGTTGATTAAGTTGGCATGATATGTTTCCCTTCAATGTTTCCCAATAAGCACCATGCGTAAAATTGCCACGACAATGACGTGTATATGGCATGCCATTACTTTGAAGACACAATTGTGATAATGTGCCCACTTGCCCAATTACTGCCTGCTTCCACTGGTATGTATCATTATTCAAATGAAATATAATTGGAAAACAATATTCTGAGCTGCGTATTACAATCGTATTATTCGGACTGTAAATTGATAATAGCTCTTTCAACAAAGTCCAAACTTGCATACGTACTGAAGTGTCGTGTCTAACATGATAATCGTTTTCCAAGCTATTATCTTCTTGGCTACTTTCCTCTTCACTATCATCAACTGCAGAGTTTTTTAGGGAAGCAGTCAAGTGAACCCAACAATTTAAATTTTGTGTAGCAATTTCTTCTATACTCATAATACGTGAATTATGTAGATTCAGGTCTCGAGAAACCTCGCCACTTCTTTCTCGTAGCACTTTTAGTACATGCTTTCCAAGCTTTTTTATGTTTTTATAAATATTGTTGCACATGTTAGTGTGTTCGTTTTTACTTACTATTATGCAAGGGATACTTATTTTCACAGCAAAGGAATGTCCACGTTGTTTTTTTGTTGCCACTACCCGTTGGGTGGTCACTAAATTAAAATTAAAGATGGTGTGTCCTGCACACCAATATTCGCCTGGTCCGTCACCAAGTAGTTTCACTTTAAATATTGACTTGGTCTTACTTTTATTTTCCCAAATAAGATCAATTTTAGTGCTTCGTTGAAGGTCATAGTCTGCGTTTGTAAAACAATGCACACCATTGTCATTTTTATTAGTACGCCAAATATACTCCCCATTGTAAACTATCAGAATTAAAGCTTGTAATGTTACGTCAAGTTTCAATATCAGTTCAACGGCGTTTTCTTGCCTGTCAATAATATTCTTGTATAAAATTGGAAATCTATTGTTATTTTCATGATTAACAACTTGCACTACTTCATTTCTGTTCATGAGAATCACGTACTCGTCGCCAAATTTGTCCACAAAATTGTCAACTTGAAAGAATTCATTTTTTTTTTCCTTTGGTAGGAATTTTTTAAGTAACATTCTGAAACGATTGCGTTTAGAAAAATAATCTTTTATGCGAAGCTCAATTTGTTCTGTATATAATATTTTTTGCCAGTTGACACCATAGCATTCATGTGGACGATAGCTAAACGCGCCTTCTCCTTCGGGACAGCCTGAACTGGCTATTAAATTACCTTGATATATACAAATCGAGTGCAATAAGTCTTCACAATCAGTAATATTCAGGATAAAATCAGAACTTTCTTTCTTATCATTATTTTGATGTACTCGATAGTAATATCGTGCTGACATACATTTTTTATCAGATCTAAAATCTGTTAGGTTTATATTGTCGTTGACTACTTGTTCCCAACGGTCACCTGGCAAACGTATCTTATATGGCATATAACTATTTTCACGTTGTATTGGTAACCAATATTCACTAATGTTTTTTTCATACAAGAACCGTGTGAAACTTACAATCTGATGTTTAGAAAAATCTAATGGTAAAATTTTATTTGAACCATGGCAAAAATTTTCATCATACTTATGCGGCTTTGATGAAATTTTAAGACATAGCGGATCACCTTTGTCATCATAAATTTCGACTAAGTCCTCCGGGCAATACTTATTAATCCTCTCTTCTGGTTTGCATACAACATTTTCTGGCAGCCACTGGCCAGTAGTTGTGTTACACTCGCGTAAAAAGAGTTCCCAATGATCCTTCCAACAAAGAATGTCTTCAGAAGTTGTATAACGAATGCCCCGAAATTTCCAATATGCTGTGCCACTAGATGTTTCAGTTGTATTATCATCACATTTTGTAACCTACATATGATGAAATTAAAATTTTATTGTAAACACAATGGATAATTGCTGACCTTTTTTGGCAAAGTGCAGGAAAAATGTACCCACATAACAATAAATATTATGGATCGTCTGGCCATTTTATTATGGCCAAGAAGCATTATTTCTCAAAACACTGATTTTGTATCTTTCACATCTAAAAACCAAAGCACAGTCCGAGCTATCTTATTATTTTTTATCTCAATTTAGAAATATTTCTTTATCTCTGTTATCAAATGTGTGCTTTATACCCTGTAGATATAATCTTATAAACCGGGTATTTTTTTCAAATATATGAATGAATATATAAAAGAATACAATTTTGATCGCAATGAAAGTAAACATCTATTAGAATATGCAACAGAACAAAATTTTTTTGTTAGTGACGGCAGGATACAGGGTGAATATATTTGTATAAACATTTTTATACATCTTATTATATTATACATAAAACTATTTGTCCTGAGAGAGTGATTGGTAGTCAACACACAGACGAAACTGCAAGAGTTTATGTGATAGAGATGCACGCCAAGAAGTGGTGTTAAGATATTCCACCCTCAAGTGTGGAAAAATCGCGAAAAACGATTGTATGAATCTCAGCATTAAACGCATTGTCAAAGAGACTTCTCCGATTTCATTGGAAACGGTGTTTCACACTTTTGGTGGTCAAAGATTTAGTGGGTTAAGTTTCGAGCTCATTTGAAACGTGTTTCATATATTTTTGCAGAATCATGTTCAAGTTTTATCCGATTTGCTTCCAGAATTTTTTTAAAGCCCTACATAAGAGCTTAGCATTCTTCATCGATTTCCTAAATTTCATCCGAAACTGTTGTAAGAAAGATTTTGTTTATCATCCGATCGGCTTCAAAATAATTTCAAAAATGTAAAAATGTTTTAAAATGACGTGGAGTTCAAAATAGTACGGGCAGATTAAAATTGTTCACACCCTGGAACTGGATGAAGAAGTTTAATATAAAGCATAAATATACGTTAGTATATTATAAAAGGGGTTATTTTTATAAATTCTGTGTTTCTTAACCGATCTTGACGAAATTTTCTTGTGGTGTGGAATATACGATATTATTGGTGGATTCTTCTGGCTCTCATACATTCGGACAGACGGACGGACATGTAACCGATCTTGACGAGATCAACTCGAATATGATACTGCTAACGAATATATAAACCTTATAAGGTCGGATTTGCTTCCTTTTATCAGTTACATATATTGGTACAAAACCGTTAAACCTTTTTACCTATTTTCAATGGGCTGAGAGTATAAAAAAACCTGCGAAATATATATAATATGTATTTATAGATATATATGTATGTATGGAGTCACAATTAGTCAATTTAGCTTACAGAAACTATTAGAATATGCTGGTGTGGCTAAATGTAGCGACCCACCAGCAACAAGATAAGAAAAACATATTCGAAGTGGTCATGGCCGAAAATTTCACTCTACCAAAATAGAAAAAAGATTTAAACTATGCAATGCTATCATCATAAGTTTAATGGTACTAGCAACAATTAAACTGATTTAGTCTACCATCTACTAAACAAACAGATACAGCTGTATCAAATGGATTCATACTAAATGTAGGTGGAATGATTTAAGACTATTATGGAGAGCCTCATTACACCACAACTATGAATTCTCCTAATATGTGTACTTACAGCGCCTGTGGCTTACCGAATAATGTGCTTAGGTGAAGAATGTTTGCTGATTATTAAAGCGCAGCTTTGCTGTAATAATTCTATTCACTTTGCTAATTAACTTTTGATCATGCATTTAATAAACAACGGACACTGGATTCAATCAGAATAATGCATAGACAGTAGCTTTACTTTACATGGAGAACTTCCATAGGTTATTATGGGATATGCCCTTTATTTATACACGACTCAAACTAACATTAGTCAAGGCGGGGTGTTCTTTTCAGCCATTGACTATGCTGTATATAATTTGGTTACTCACTTTTTTTAAATATCACAATGATGCGAATATTGAACACTCAAAGAGCTTCTGGAGGAATGCATGGATCTGTGCATGAATAATTACTCCCCTTAAAATTAGACAAAGATGATGACCCCTACCAAAATTCATTCTGATGCTGCCCTTGCCTCCAACAGATAAACAACAATATAATATTTTCAAATGGCTGCCAACAACAAGTCATCTGATTCTTTCAGCAATTGGAATCGTAGAAATTAAATGCGTTTTTTCAGGAGTTACAAAATCAGCTTACGCCGTTATACTCTACAATTATGAAGCAAACGCCGTTATAGATGTGTAAAAGTTTCTTAATATAATTAAATTGACACAATTTTGTGAAATGTCAGTGACTTTCGGTATTTTTCTGCGTAATAAATTAAAAAAGGTACGCCAGGTCTATTAGATAGTTTATTAAAGTCTACCAAACAAAAAACCAAAGGTTTAAGCCAAAAAATAAATTCTCCTCAATAAATAAATCCTTTGATCGGCAATTTCTATGCGAAAGCGGTGGATTTTGCTAAAAAGGTAACAAATAAATTCTCCCAAATATTTTTGAAAATGACATTGGGACCGATACAAATAAGTTTACAAGTTTACAAGTTTTTGAAATATTTACAGTGTTTCAGGTGGAATTTCACTATTAACTATTAAATAAAAAATTGCATTCTAACTTTTTTCGCGATTTTTCCACACTTGCGGATAGAATTCCCCAAACACCCCCACCTCCATTATAAAAGGTAACTACAGTGAACATTTCAGCTTTTTAGTTCTTACGGCTTGGGCAATGCGGTGATTACCAATTTGTCAGTCAGGACAGTTTTAGTTTTATATATAGCGATTAAAGGTGTTGACTTTTTTTTAAGCTTTTACCAATTTTATTGGTCCCCGCTTATGGCATGGTATTCTTCTTTTCAACAGCTAATGATGCTATATGCCATTTCTCTTCCGCTAAAGGAAAGACTTTATTTGTCTTTTTGATGCACAGTGACTTCAACCCTAAAAAATTTTGAGAAATTTTTACAATTAAATTTCTTGTTTGTCTAATTATGAGTTGGGAACGTTAAAGGCATTTCAAAGTATGAACTGTAATGATAAAAAGCCTCTAAGGCAATAAATGCACAACATTTTTGACAAAATTTCGAAATTCTTAGAAGTTCGTCACATAACTAGAACTTCAGCCACAAGTATTATAGGATCGATTACAAAGAAATTAAAATTGCAACGTTGGTTCAAAAGTTTTTCAGAACACAAAATTTTCGTTTGAATCACAGCTAGATTATGATAGTTTGTAATCTTTGTAAAAGTGTGCAACTTAATTGGATAGCAGTTATCAACATTCAGTTTCCGATGATTCAACTAGGAGCAAATAAAACCAAATCAAGAAGCCCATAATGGACTTAACAGATTATCGTTTTCATGCTCTTAGGCAGTTTCTAAGTGCAGCTATTGTTGGGTCACGTACAAATTGTTAAACGGACATCAACGAGTTGGTGAAACAATATAAACTGTGAATCAACTGTTTAAAACAAGGGCATTAAGTAAAACAAGTAAGAGGTTCTAGTCAGTACCTCCCGACTAGGGGATGCCCTGAACCCTCTTATTCCAACACCAAATGCAGCTCGCGCTACGCGCTCGTTTCCTTTAGTAGTAATCAAGATAAATTACAAAAAAAAAGTTCCCAAGGCAGGGTTCGAACTCGCAACTAACCGCACTACTTGTCGCCGCCTCTACCCAACAGCCACACCAGCCAAAAAGAAAACCAATTTCCCAGGTAGGATTCGAACTCGCAAAAGACTGGACTACTTGCCGCCGCTTCTACCCAATAGCCAAACCAATTATTGAGTCTAGATGAGGTAAAAACGAATTGAGCAGCAAAGACAAAACACAATCGCAATTGCAATGCTGTTGATAGAATTCGAAAAAAACGCGCATGAATGTGTGCGTGTACGTGTATACACAAATGGGCTGCCGAAACACATAACTATTATGTTTCTTAACCGATCTTAATGAAATTTTCAGCAGATCTTATTGCACTATAAAATATTCGTGTGTTCTCAACATGACAAGTGCATTTAAATTATGGCATATATTGGTGGGCAGCATAAATGTGTGTTTCCACTTGATTTATAGCTATTAGGTTGTAGCGGGGAGGTGGTGGTAACTTATAAAATGAAAGATATTCTAGAAGCTACATGACAAGTTTGGTGACTCTAGCTCTTATTATTTACCAAAATTCCTTAAAAAACAGGATTTCGATATCGATTACTTGGAAACGGGGTAAGTTATCGAATATCGGAAAAAAAAACTCGATCTGTGCGGGCTCTAGGAGGACCTACAGCTAACATTTCAAGTCTCTAGCTCTTATAGGTTCTGAGATCCTTGCTTTCATACATACGGACAGACGGACGGACGGACGGACAGACAGACAGACATGGCTAGATCGACTCGGCAGTTGATGCTGATCAAGAATATATATACTTTATGGTATCTGAGATGTTTGCTTATACCTGCTACATACATTTGCACAAAAACTTTATACCCTTTTTACCCATTTTCAATGGGTTGAGGGTATAATTATGTGGATGTTCTCAAAATCGCGTTGTACACAAAGCCACATCACACCATGCTTCACAGATATTAAATCATAACTTAGTAATCACAAGCTATTAAGGCTGCCACAACTGGTCCACAGCAACAAGCTTACGTAAGTTATACTCTGAGTGCTCATCAACTAATTTTAGCCATATCTGTAGTTAAGTTAAAAAGTAGATTTGAAACCGTCTTAGATTCTGGATCTCAACTCAACTTCAGAGCATTTAATACATTGGTATAATTTCGCTTAAATGAACATTCTTTGGTGGCTGCCAAAACTTGAAATCTATCTCTACATATCTACCCGATTAAAAAGTTCACTCGTCACGTAGAATAAGCCACCAAATATTTGCTAGAATGCATTTTCTTACAGGTTATGAAAGTTTATCGACTTAAGAGTTATGGACAAATGAAGCTGAGTTTTTAGCAACCAATATATCAGAAAAAAAAAGTTAGTTTGGATTGTATTAGGAAAATATTTACAAGGTACATCACTACAAGCATTGGTTAGCACTGCTCTCTCGACACTGGGATACAACTTTATTGGAACAGATCCCAGGAAAGTCGAAGGCTGTATCATCTGAATGTGAGCGAA